AGCCATGCCACAGCCCAGAGTCAAACAGACCCAAGTTCAAATGCCATCTCGGATGTGGACAAGCTCTGATTTTCAGATATGTTATGAGTCTTGTTCCATTTCTCAGTATGTCCACATATAAAATCATTGCAATAATATCACTTATGAGACTATTGTGAGAAACAGAAGAGGTATTGTTTGGGAAGCCCTTAGCCATGGAGGTTAACCTCTGAATGCTGGAGCACTTCCTTTCCTCCTTACTCCCTCCTTTTACACCTGTGCAGAAATTCTCTCTTCCTGAGAGTGCCCTGAATGAATTCTTCTGATAATTAATATCTCCTTTATCTCTTCATAAGTCTTTTTGTTACAACCAAGAGAAGGTTAAAGGTTTTAATACTTACTGATTAAATTGACAAAACCCAAAAGAATTAAGTTTCAATAACAGTAGAGAAAATAAAGCCAATGGTTGAGATAATTGGCAACGTGAACTCTGTAGTTACAGTAATCACTGTTACATTTGAGAAACATATTGCAAAAACAGAGCCAAGTGAGCTTCAGCCTTCCTTGAGGCAATCACAGAAATTAGCAGAAGCTGTCATTTTAGGTCATCTGGTATACCCCTGCCAAAGTGAAATTGTTTTCTGAATGTGTTTTATCTAATTCAGTTTTCAGTAAACCCCGTGGGATCTCTCATTACAGTAAGCCATTCAAAGACTTTTTAAGTTCTTGTGTCAGGTTTTCTTATTTTTCCATTCTCTACCATTATTGCTGATTCTCAAGCACAGTATGACTGCACAAGCAGCAACCCAACCCATCCTCACGGCTCTAATCGGAAACTCCTGGTCCTCGGAGTATCAAGTCATAAAGTAAAACTGGAAAGCTTTGGGAAGGCCTGATGGCTCAGTCTATAATGAAAGCAAATGAGTTTATGCATAGATCTCACAGCATCTTGTTGATTAAACAGAGGTGTCTTGGCTTGCTTCTTTTTTTTTCAGCTGTGTTAAATTATTAGACTCTTCATTCTACGATTGCTATTGTAGACCCACTGAGGATAAGGTGCTGAAAGCCATAAGAAATGCTTGTACTTGATAAGTAAGACTCAACAGCTTCTGCCCAAAAACAGAGATGAGAGATAATAATACCATTTTTTGTTCAGTAGTATTTTGAGACTTTTTTTCCACAGTTAATCTCATCTAATACCGAAAAAGAACTGTGTTTCTTTACAAATTAAAAAAAATAAGTTTCAATAACTCCTCATAGCAAATAAGTGACTCATCATGGCTAGTTTGGGACAAAGCTGGGACTGGAGTATTTTGTGATTCTCAGTCCATGTTACTTCCACTAACCCACAGCTTCATTCTTTGCTTATGGAACTGAAGTGACTACACAGAAACATTTTGAGTGCTTACTCCGTTCTGGGTGCTGTTGTATCCAGCTGGCATGTAGTCGATCCTCTTAACAACTTTACGAGGTAGGCAGTTTTATTATCACCATCTATTCAATGAGAAAAGTGAGGCACAGAAACTGGACTAATAGCCCAAGGTTGCATGGTTCGTAGGTGGAAGAAAATGATAAACCCCATAAGAGCCTTGCCACCCAGAAGAAATGTGAAGGAAGTTGTTGGATTTGTTGCTAGGAAGAAGGCTAAGCAAGTTTTGGAACGTTTTCTGGCATTTCCAGAACAGTGAGACTTTTCTTCTCTTGTGAATCCTGTGAGAAGACATTGGCATCAGAGATGAGAAATGATGACGATTCCAAGAAAAGAAGGAAATGTAGATCTTCCCCTTCCCCTCTGCCATGGCTATGGACGTGTGGGTGACTTGGCAGCATAGAGAGCTTGTGGCATATGAATACCATCTGCTGCTTTAATACTTGCTATGTATATTTTCTGTTATTTAAAAATCTTTGGACAGATCTCACCATTGACTAAAGCACAGACAACAGAACCCTTGGCATTCCTGATCTTACATTCGTGGTTTGTGATTTGGGAGGGAATGAAGGTGAGGGGACACTCATAAAGGGTAGTGCTTTGGCAATTTGCTGGGCCACCAGTCTGCATTGCACAAACTCACTGACTGCTTGGGTGCTCATACTTCAGTGAAACTTTCTTGTTCTAAGCAACCATTGGCTTTACTTTCTCTACTGTTATTGAAACAGTTCTTTTGGGTTTTGCCATCTTTAATCATAATTATTAAAACTCTTAACCAGCAAATGAATTGCTTGGTCCTGTCAGTCTATGTAGCTTTTTGTATCATTAGGATGATTTGCAATCAATTTGGAGTACTACTGATAATTAGTAATTTTTAGTAACGACCAAGACACTAAAAATTAATTTTTCTTTATTAATAATTTCATTTTCGGCACTTCTATATCACTGTGGCATGAATGTCATTCTAGATGGTATGCTTTCTAATTTGTAGATGATGTGAAGGTGAAAGGCATGACCAATGTTCTGTAAGAGTAGAACTGGGAATTTGGAAGTTCAAATCTAAGAAGGTGAAATATTAATGGGAGTGGAAATAAAGCCTTCACTTGGTTGTAACAAAAAAGACTTAAGAAGCGGTAAGGGAGATATTAATTATCAGAGAGATTCCTTCAAGGCACTCTAGGAAGAGGGAATTTCCGTACAGATCCTTTGCTTGGATCTGGAAAGTAGGAGGTTGTCAGAGTCTGAGGTAACCTCAGAGACTATTTTCTCCCCTCTTCTCTCTTTTGACTTTTCTGCTTGTCTCTGCAGATTCAGTACATTCTTCTGTGATTCCCAATCTCCTACTCAAATCTCAGAGAAACCTAGTTTGATTGACTTGGCTTATTGTCAGCTTCTTTCTAGGGCAGAGACTTTTGCATAAAGCTACCGCATCGATTGTCTATCAGTCTCTGAGGTGCTCCTGAAGCCCTGAGCTAGTCACTGGCCACTCTGCTAAAACAACACCTTATTCCTGCTGATCTGAACAGAGGGTTATGGTTGGGGAAATTTACATTACAATGAGAATCTGGGTGTGGCTTCCAGGGACAAAATTGGAACCACTGAGTGACAGGTACCTGAAGCTCTCTTCAGGTCCTACAGAACTCCCTAAACATGGAAAGAGCCATAGGCAAAGAGATGGTTGGATTTGCTGACCTTCCAGGCTCCTTCCACCTTCCAGACTGTGGTTTTATTTTATTAGCACTCTTTTACTCCGTTCTAGAGAAGTCTAATGAAAACTATTTTTTACATTATTATTAAAATGAGCCAGGAAGATAATTCTGACACAGTATAACTAGGATATGCCTAAAGTGTCAGAAATGGTAATGCTTTTGCTTTAGCTTCTTAAATAAAATAAATTTCATATGAGAAATATGTGTAAATTAGATATTTTAGTCAGTCACGATGCTATTCAAAGAAAGGAAATAATTTACAGAATGTAAACGTAATGGAGCAGCAAACTGCAACATGGGTACTTTTTTTTAAAATGATTGATGATGAGTATAAGAATGTTTGGGAAAATATTTCTAAATGTATTGTAAATGATGTTCTAGAGATTTTAGTATGATTTTTAAACTCAGATATCAGATGGACAGTCATTTAGGACAGATTTGAGGGATGACTCTTCTGATTATTATCTGAGCTAAAATAGTGTAACTAAATTTCAGCATTCAGTCTTCATTAATTTGGAAGTGTGTATAGGGAAGAATAAAAGTCATTACAAAAAGTGTTAACCTTCTGTCAAATAACAGAAAATAGTTACTTACTCAGACAAAATTCAAAAGCCCCAGTTTCTACTTTTCAACTAAGAATGTGTTGACACAGAAGACACAGGAAGGCAGCAGGGAAGGATGGCCTGACTCCAGCCTCCCTGGCAACTGTGTTTCCATGGGACAATGCATTGTCAGGTGAAACTTGCTTTGTTAAAATTCCAGGGCTCCCATTTTTGCAAGGAAACTTTTCTTCAGTTTCCTAATTTATATATTAGGATGATAATACTACCTAGGTCAGAGAGTTCTTTAGATGACCAAAGCACTTTTTGGCGTACTGTCTAGTTCATTAAAAAAATGCTCAACAATTTAGCTTCTAGGACAGAACATTAGAGAAGTCATCAAAGACCATCTTCCCTAAAGAAGCTTCAGTGCCATCCTACCTACGTTTTGATTTTATTGGCCTGGGAATTATTTGGTCTGGATGAGGTCAAGCCATTGATATTTTTAAATGGCTCTCCCAGGATGCACTAATGTGTAGGCGCAGTTGAGGAGCACTCAGTAAACCCAAGGTCATCCTGTTAGCTGTTCTTGCTAGAGGCTGAACTGGAGTTCTGATCTAACAGAGGCTTTTTAAGCAATCCTTTCTGTGGTTTTCCTCTTTCTCATAAAACTAAGGTATTAAATAAACACACTATTCAAGCACCATTAAAATTTGTTGGCTTCCGTTAAATTAAGGACTCATTCTGTGTAGTTCTACCTTCACCTTATGCTGCTTTTCTTACAATGGCATGTTCAATAACGCCTTTATTCCCAGATGGATTCTTTTCTCAGCTCCTTCAAAGCCACCTCTAAAATGTAATTGCATTGCTGAGTTCCTCTGCGACATCGGCAACCTTGATCAAATACTAAGTTCGTCATTGTTTGTTCTTTTCAACTTGTATTAGATTCTTTCTAGATGCTTTGTGTGTTGATGTGATTGTAAAACTGGGTTTATTCCCATGAAGTATTAGAGTAGAACAAGATGAAGTGTCTTTTCTTTCTCTTGTGATTTGTGTTCACAGTTGTTTCCTGCAATTTAGGTAATTCAGACTTCTACACTGAAATGTCACTGGAATTATATTACTTTTTTTCATTAACTGTGGACTTTAAATTGCTTGAAGTTTCTTAAGTATATTGTTGCCCTTAGCTACAATAAAGCTTGGCTAAAATTAATTATGGAATGTCATATGTATTAAGTTCCCCTTATCAACTTTAGTAGGAAAGTAAAATGAAATCTCAGCTTAATAGAGTTAACAAACCCAAAACAACTGACATTGTTCTCTGTGTGATTTTTTTCTTTTCAGGAATTTGTGATATTCTTCACTGGCACTCTTTAATTCTGTTTGCTGAAGACTGACCAAAGCTGCTCCCAGCCGTTGGCATCATCCCAAGAAAAGGAGGGCTTCAGAAGTCAGGGGAACATTTGGGAGGCTCTTAGCCCAGTGGACTTTCTGAAGGTGAGTGGATTGGTTCTCTCTTTACCCTGTAGAAACATAGACAGTGGTCTGTTTTCCAAAGTTCACTTCTTCAAACACTGAATAGTGAAACAAGTTTCTGAAAATTCTCTATAAGCAGTTGAGAGATTTTCTTTTCTGAGAGAATATTTGGTAGTTATGAAGAAAACAAATTGGTTATTTTAACAAAACAAGAATTTATTTGAATTAGAGCTTTGATCTTTGAAAGCCTATTTGAGCATACACACACTGTTAAAATAGCATTACTCTTTTCAGAGAAAATGTTTTTTCTCTTTTTTATTAGTTTTTATTAAGTGTATGAAGGGATTTTATTGGTTTTTTCTTTTGTTTTGTTTTTTAATTATATTATTGTTGTACTGAAGGTACATTGTGACATTTACAAAAGTTCTGACAATATATCATAGTTGAATTCACCCCTCTGTCATTCTCCTTTATTCCCCCTCCCCTCATTTCTGGAATAGTTTCAACAGGCCTAATTTTTCCATTTTCATACATGAGTATATAATATTTCTACCACATTCATTCTCCTACACCCTTTCCTTATATCTTCCCCCCTCCCACTGGTAACAATCCCTTGACAAGACCTGTTCTCTGTTTTTGAAAAAATACATTTTTGCTTGTATAAGATAGCTATACTGGGAGTTACATTGTGACATTTCCCATATGTATTATAACCTGAGTTGGTTTATCGCTCCTGTTTTTCTCCTTTTTACATCAGTCCCCTTCTTATGATGATTTCAACAGGTTTAAAAATTCTATATTCATTTTTTATAGAAAGTACATCAACCATATTCACCTTCTTAACTTCCTTCTTTAACTCTCCCTTTCCTGTCAGTGGCTTCCCTTTAGCCTGACCTGTTTTTCAATTATTGCTGTATTTGTATTAGGTCTATATTCCACATATGAAAGAAAACATGTGGCCTTTGACTTTCTGAACCTGGCTAACTTCATTTAAGATGATGTTCTCTAGTTCCATCCTTTTATCTGCAAATGACAAAAAAATTTCATTCTTCTTTATGGCTGAATAAAATCCTATTATACATAAATACCACATTTTCTTAATCCATTCATCAGTTGTGAGGCATCTGGGCTGCTTCCACAGCCTAGATATCATGAATATTGCTTCAGTAAACATGGGTGTCCAGGTGTTTTTATAATAACCTGATTTACATTCCTTCAGGTATATTCCTAGGAGTGGTATAACTGGATCATATGACTGTTCTGTTTTTAATTTCCCAAGGAGTTTCCATACTGTTTTCCATAGTGGCTGTACTAATTCACATTCCTACAATAGTGTATGAAGGTTCGTTTCCCCCACATCCTCACCAACATGTATTGTTCATGTTCTTGATGATAGCTGGCCTGAAAGGAGTGAGGTGGAATCTTAACATGATTTTTGGTTTGCATTTCCTTTATGGCCAGGGATGGTGAGCATTTCTTCATGCTTTTTTTTTGTTTTGTTTTGTTTTTGCCATTTGAACTTCTTTCTTTGAAAAAGTTCTATTCAGTTCATTTGCCCATTTCTTCATTGGATCATTGATGTTTTGGGGGAGTTTAGTTTTTTGAGCTCTCTGTATATTCTAGTTATTAATTCCTTGTCAGATGTATAACTAGTAAAGATTTTTTTCCCATTCTGTGGCCTGCCTCTTCAATCTGGTGATCATTTCTTTTATTGTGCAGAAGCTTTTTAGATTCATATAGTTCCATTTGTCAATTCTTTCTCTTAGTTGCTGACATTTGAGTTCTATTTAGGAAGTTATTGACTATGCCTATTAATTCCTGTATATTCCCTGCTCTTTCCTGCACTAGCTGCAAAGTTTCAGGTCTTATATTAATGTCCTTAATTCACTTTGAGTTGATACTCGTACAAGGTAAAAGACATGGATCTAGTTTTAGTTTTCTGTATGCGGATATCCAGTTTTCTCAGTAACATTTCTTGAAAAGACTGTCTTTTTTCCATCATATGTTTGGGGCATCTTTGTGAAAAATCAGGTGGTATAGCTGCATGGATTCATATCTGTGTCTTTTCTCTTTCATTGGTCTTCACGTCTGTTTTTATGCCAGTACCATGCTATAATATACTTTGAAGTCGGGTATTGTGATACCTCTGTGTTGCTCTTTTTGCTCACTATTGCTGTGGCTATTTGCATCTTTTGTGCTTCCAAATGAATTTTAAGATTGATTTTTCAGTCTCTAAAATGAATGTCATTGGAATTTTGATGGGGATTGCACTGAACATGTAGATTACTTTTTGGTAATATAGTCATTTTCACAATATTGATTCTGCCAGTCCATGAGCATGGAAGATCTTTCCATCTTCTGTAGTTTCTTCAATGGTTTATAATTTCATTGTAGAGGTCTTTCCCTTCTAAAGGGGTTTCATTGTAATATATCCATGCATGCAATATGATTACTTTGATCAAATTAACTATCTTTATTACTGTGTGTGTGTGTGTGTGTACTTAGTTTTCTTATTTTGGCAATACTGGGTTTCATCTCAGGGCTTCATGCTTGCAAAGCAGACTCTATGTACTTGAGCCATACCTGCAGTCACCTTTGCTCTGGTTATTTTTGGAGAATGGATCTTGTGAACTGTTAGCCTGGGCTGGCCTTGAACCTCGATCCTCCCAATGTGAGCCTCCGAAGTAGCTAGGATCACAGGTGTGAGCTGCCAAGTGCCCCATTTACTCTCTTATTTGGAGAAAACTCTTATGTATTTCGGATCTGTCAGTCTCAATATGTGCTTTACCTGACCTTGTAGGGTTGTTTAACATATCTGACAGCACTTTGTAAGACTTGAAGTGTTATTTGTAAATATATAAGTATTCCCAAATATTTATGACCCTCCAAAACACTCTCATACTCTTCAATCTGCTTTCCCCCATAGTTTCATTCATTTTCAGTTTAGTTCAATAAAATTAACTGTCAGTAACATCAGGCTCTCAGGAAGCAAAGGTGATAAGTCCTCATCTTTAAGGAATATCTGTCAAATGCAAGAGACAGATCTAGAAATAGGCACGACCAGCTTCAGTATGATACAAGTTTATTGAGAGCAAAATAAGAAATGGAAATGGCAACTCATAGTGCCAGGAGCTGGAGTACGGTGTGTGTTAAGGCAGACTTCATGGGGGAGGGGACTCCTGAAAGGGTTCTTGAAAGATGAGTAGAAATTAGCCAGGTAAAGAGCAGAGTGAGAGTAGAGGAGGACACTGCAGGCAGAAGCAGTGGGATAGGGGGTTGAAACCCATATGTGAAAGCAGTAAGTTGTTCAGAGTTCTTGCATCGTAAGGTACAGTATATGTGCATAGGGTGAGAAAGGAAATACGGAAGCACTGAGGGATATTAAGCTGAAGGACATTGGTATTTTAGGTGTTACCCTGGAGTAAATAAAGGAAATGACGTGGGGGCGAGCAAGAGGGAAAGACAGGAGGGTTCACTTTATAATGATCTGTATCACTTGAGCTAGAGTTTGAGTAGAAACAGTGAGGGAGAGATATTTGAAGGAGATGATGAATTTGGGGACTGATTGGCCATGTGAAGTGGGAAAATGTCAGGGCTTGAGATTCTTGGGTTTCTGACTGAGGTGACAAGGTCGTGATGATGCCATACAGGAAATTTAGGAGGGAAGCAGATCTATTACTGGGGAGGGGGATAGAGAAGGACTTCAAGGTATATATGGAGCATCTAGGTAGAAGTGTTTACCATGTAACTGCAAGTATAAGGTAGAGGAAACGGGAGGAATCACAGGACTAGAAATAATGACTTGGGAGTTACTGGCTATGTTCTGTTGCTGTGATAAAATACCCAAGAAAATCACCTTATAAGCAGGAAAGATTTATTTTAGTTCATGGTTTCAAAGTTTCAGTCCATGTTCACTTGGCTGTGTTGCTCTTGGGCCTATGGCAAGGCAGTACATTATGATGGGGAGTTATGGCAGAGCAAATCTCATGGTGGCTGGGGAAGCTAAGAGAAAGGAAGGGTCCCAATTCCCCTCCAAGGGCCTGCCCTGATGACCTAATTTCCTTCCACTAGGCCCCATCCCCAAAGGTTCCACTGCTCCCAACTGTACAGGCTGATGGCCAAGCCTTTAGCACATTAGCCTTTGGGGACATTTAAGATCCAAACCATAGTATAGGCAGTAACTTGAAATATTTAAAAAAATTAAAATTTGAATTTGTACTTAAGCCTTCAATATTATTTTTTCATATTCTTAACACACAACTCACCACACTACCAATTTCCACTTTAACTTTACTTGTTATTTCATTTGTTATATGTAGTTTTTTGTCTTATTTTCTTGACATAATAAGGTAGGTGTTTCCTAGGGGCAAACATGGTGACCTTTCCAATTTGAAAAACAAAGAAATTAATTCACAATAATTATAGAAATTAGTTTAAAAAGTGTCTGCTTTCCAAATTTTCTATATTAATCATGGTTTCTTGTCAATTCCTTACTTCATTTCCCTGTCCATTGTTTAAGCTTTTCTTATGGGAGACAGAGAGCAGGGTCTTTCTTGCATTCTTCAGTGAGGTGGTGCCAACCCCACCCATTGGGCGTAACCAGCATCCACTCCAAACATGGTGAAGAGGTCTGTTGTAACAGAGGCTGCACTGTTTGAGAGCAAGTCCACCCAAGCTAGACTTTTGAAATTCATTACTCAGAGCCTCCTTTGAGGGAATGTCATGGGTAAAAATTTTAAATTCAATGATACTTACAATAGTGCTATTTTGAGTGAATTTTATTTGATTACTGTGTTCTTAATTAGTTTAATGACTTTTTTCACTTAAGACCTATTGGAAAATTACAAAAATCTTTCCATTCTACTCTATAGTCCATTTCATTATGATCTTTCCAGGAGCTTTAAAGTTCAGCTAATATATCACTTTCATTTTTATACATAGAAAATTAATTTGAAACAAAATGAAGTAACTTACTTAATACTAACAGCTAGAACCAGCATCCTGGTCTCTTGAAACTCAGT